TTTATTTACCATTTTTCTCTTGTTCTTTTTTCTCACCCATGGATGCGGGTCCCAATGTCTGCTTTGTTCTGAACTGCCTTTAGGGTGGCTGGAGGACTCGGGAGGGATTTCGTTTATGGCCTGATCACAGGCTCCTGAGATTATTTCCTACCACGTAGTCTCAAAGTGGCTTGGGTTGGACGTTTATGAAGCTCCAGCCAGGGTTTCAGATTTCAGAGGCCCACTGTGGGATTAACCATAGAGATGTGGTGGACTTCATACAGATAAAAATAATGGGATCCTTTATGTGGAGGAAATGTGACTGTGGGTGAAAGTGAAGAAAAACTCCATGGAATTACTATAAATTTGAAGATACGGGAGAAATGAACAAGTCCTGTACCTGGAATACTCTTTAGAAATCATATTTTCCTAAAGAATCAAGGAAATATGGGGTTCATATAAGATACAAGTCTTGGTCTTATAGTGAGAAAAGTCAGAGAGAAAGGGAAAAGAAAAAAGAGGGCAGTTCTGTTGATTGAGTTGGGAGAAAAGATGAGATTTTCTTGGGAGAAAGTTTGAGTTCATAGAACCCATGCTTGAGATACATTAAAAGAGAAGGGAAATGGCTCCATGCCTAAATAGTTTTAAGGATGGAACTAGAAAAGAGCAGAATATTTATTTCTAGATCAGGGAGGGTGAAGGGGCCTGGAGGGATTTAACAACGATGCAAAACAGTTTGAGGCCGCTAGAGGGAGCGTTGACCCAGTCACTTGCACAGAGTGAGGGAAGATGATCAGGAAGTTTAGTGGTGAAACATTATTAGGTAAATTTCAAAGGAATGCAGGTTTTTTTTTTTTTTTTTTTTTTTTTAAATGGGGGCTTGGGGGCTGTTATTGCCCATGTCCTGAGGAAGCATGCCACAGAATTACTGAGAAGATGAAATATACTCTAAAGGGAATTCATGCATGAAATAAATAGATCTAGTCACATCTGAAATTCTGTTTTCCAAAAATTTAAAATTTTTAAACTGACAAATCACAGTTGTATACAATTATGGCATACAATGTGATGTTTTGATATATGTATACATTGTGGTATGATTGAATCAAGCTTACATTTCTCAATATCATAAGATGATAGAAATATCCTAAGCCCCCACTTTGAGAGAAGAGGCGGTATGCATGATCCCACCGTCCGAAGGCAAACTTAATGCCAACATTAGTCACTCCACAAGAGATTTCTCCCACTTGTGAAGTTGAGGCTTTCTCTCTTCTTGCAGATACCACTTAGTTTCTACCGCAGCATGATACTGGCATTAGCCATGGGATTCCTGCACAGCTCAAGTGTCCCATGTGTCTTTTGAGCCTTGAGGAGGAGACTGACATTGAGATGCCTTGTCATCACCTCTTCCATTGCAACTGAACCTTCCCTGGCTAAGCAAGACAAATTCCTCCCGCTGTGCTGCCATGAGCTGCTCACTGATAATGACATGTAGGAGGAGCACAGATGAGATGAGGCCCACAAGCAGCAGCAGAAGTGTGGCTGGAGAAGCTGCATGGAGCCAGGTACACCTGAGGCACTGCGGCTGAGCGCTGGCCTCCATGACATCTTTCTCCTGCACCTTGAAGCTGTGTCAAAGGTTTTTTTCTTCCACCTTCTACCCCTGCAAACAAACAAACAAACAAACAAACAAAAAACCCTTAGAAGCCCCACAAAAAAACCATGCACTAGGGCCTGGGCATGTAATTGCTCTGGGGCCTGAGAATGTGCTTGTGTTTTTGAGTTTGGCTGGTGCGGAGCTGGTACTTTTTGGTATTATTGCTTGGTGGTATTTTATGTATCCTAGTTACTCTAACTTTGAAAAGGAGGGACCCATGGGCTCTTTGGGGTTGGATTAAGTCAACTTCATAGATGCTAGAGGAACTACTCACATTTCAGGGGGAAGAAGATCAGGATGCAGCCGGTCCCCTGCCTCCAGTCATAGCAGCCTTTCCCTGACTCCCAGGGAACACGCCCCATGCTGGTGGCTCTGTGTCCTCCTCATCCTCTACAGATTTGTGAGGTTTCACCACAATCCTTCCCGTAGTCACACCCAAGAGGTCTGAGGCGGTGGCTTACCCCAGGCCAGACAGAAGATGGAGATGCAGGTACCTAACCCTATCTGCACAATGGGAAGCTAAAGTGATAGGGAGAATGTATGTACCCCTCCTTTCCTTTCTAGATCTTATTCTACCAAACAGTGGGAGCAACAAAAATGACAAAAACCACTCCCAGGCTAGGTGCAGTGGCTCACGCCTGTAATCCCAGCACCTTGGGAGGCCCAGGCATGCAGATCACCAGGTTAAGAGTTTGAGACCATCCTGGCCAACATAGTAAAACCCCGTTTCTACTAAAAACACAAAAATTAGCTGGGCATGGTGGCCTGTGCCTGTAAGTCCTAACTACTCAGGAGGCGGAGGCAGGAGAATTGCTTGAACCCATGAGGCGGAGGTTGCAGTGAGCTGAGATCGTGCCACTCCACTCCAGCCTGGTAACAAAGCGAGACTCCGTCAGAGGAAGAAGAAGAAGAAGAAGGAGAAGGAGAAGGAGAAGGAGAAGAAGAAGAAAACAAAACCACTCTCTTCACCCCATCTCAACAGGTCACAAAATTTTTCATGTTTGAAGGCCCAGCCAGAGCCTGGCACCTGGTTGGGGGAGACAAAGAATGAGTTTTTTGGGAATGGATTTTCTATTTATTTATTTAGAGACATAGCCTTGCTCTGTCACCCTGGGCTGGAGGGCAGTGGCGCAATCACAGCTCACTGCAGCATTGAACTCCTGGACTCAAGTAACCCTTTTATGTCAGCCACCCAAGTAGCTGGGACTACATGTGTGCACCACCACACCCAGCTAATTTATTTATATTATATATATATTTAATATATATGTGTATATATATATCGTGTGTGTGTGTGTGTATATATATATAAATAAATAAAAAGTAAGGATCGAGGTCTTGCTATATTGCTCAGGCTGGTCTCAAACTCCTGGCCTCAAGTGATCCTACTCCTAAACTGTTGGGATTACAGGCGAGAGCCACCATGCCTCGCCGGGAAATGAATTTTCTTTAAGAATGGAGATGTCTAGACAAATGGACATACCTAGATGCCTTTTGAATAAGACTCTGGGCTAAGGATGAGTAAAAAATTGGGAGGGGAGGAATGTTGGACTTTACTTTTCTTGCATTGAAAGGTGTATTTCAATTTTGTTCTTTGTTCCTTTTGAAATTAGGAGGATCGCTTGAGCCCATGAGGCAGAGGTTGCAGTGAGCGGAGATTGTGCCACTGTATTCCAGCCTGGGTGACAGAATGACAGAATGAGACTCTGCCTAAAAAAAGAAAAAACAAGAAAAAAGAAAGAAAGAAGGAAGGAAGGAAAGAGAAAGAAAGAAAGAAAGAAAGAAAAAGAAATTAGAAGAGGGTTTATGTTCAAATTTAGGATTTTTTTTTTTTTGCTGATGTTGAATTATTATCTTTTATGCTGTTAACATAGTACTTATTTGTAACCCTCAAGTGAGCTCTACTGAGCAATATGACTGAGCAGATTGGAGAGAGGAAATAGAGTCTAGGGAACAGTACAGTCTTGGAGTTAATTTGTGTCCTATTTGAACTCGATTCAGAGGCTTGGGTACCAACAGTAAACTTGTCAACTCACCAATTTCAGGAGGAAAGAATTGTGGTGAGAAACTGTACTTAATTTTTTTCATCTGAAAATGGAGATAACAAACTTTTTAAGTCTTTTGCAAGGGCTAAATGGGTAAATATGTATAAAGCATTTGGAACTAGGGCCTGCCACATAGTAGGAGCTACTGTATATTAAATCAGTGAGCATATATATGGTAAGGCCACAAATGGCCAAATGTCTGCAGAGTGGAAGACCACTCTGATGTGCTGCTGGTCTTCTCTCCTGCACCCCTCCAATCACAGCTGTGGCTGATGGCAGATCTCAGGCTCACCTGTTAAGCCCAAAGGCTTCAGAAGAGAGAAGGCTCTCTTCTGTGACTCTGTGTTGGGGGCATTCCTTCCTATCCCCTCCCAACAAGAAGAGCAGGTTGGGGGGAATACTTCCCAGCCTACCTTTCCATTCCTTCCTTCCTCCTCCCTGAGGGAAGAGTAGATGATCTTACAGATGAGAGCCTGATAGTGTCTTATCCAGCCCTGTTTCTGTTTATTCAGTGAGTCAGTCTGGGTTGGGAGTGTGGGCAGGGGCCCTTTAGCCTGAGGTCTCCTATCGGGTTTTCACAGAGAGCCCTGTGCTGTGGGCTGTGGCACAGCTGTCCAGCCATTAGTAAGATGGATGCTTTGATCCTCACTGGGTAACAACTCTTATATCCTTTTCTATATTGGCCTGAACTGGAGGATCAGAAGGATGAATCTGGGGCTTCTTAATCTGCAAGACACGTCCATGTTCCTAATATCATCCACTCAGGAAACTTCCCTCCAATTTTTTTTCTTGAACTTCGCAGGCTCCTACCTTCCCTCCTCTGTTATTTTGAAAAGAATTTCTGCCTTATCTTAAGCTATATCTGGAGAAAGACCCATAATAGAACTTTCGATCTAGCTTGGGAGATATTTTTGGTGGAGTTGTGTGTTCTTCCCCTGGGGGTAAGGTGGGTAAACTAGGGAAAGTGGGCATGTGGCGACTTTCTGTACTAGGAGAAAGCAAAGGGAGGAAGTAGATTATTTTATCTCTCTCTAGGTCTGAACATATTTCCAGATTTTCCTGGGCCAGGACAGACCAGCTCTGCATTGCAGGAGGTCAGTTGCTCTGTTGATCTTCTGAGCACATCTTTTTATGTGTCCTGGAGGTAGGACACTAGAGATCTGAGATGTTTCCCTTCCTGCCCTCCTACCTGCCCTTGAGTGACAGCTTCCCTTCATCTGTAAGACAGAAACCTTCGTTTTCCCATGCTCTTCTTTACCCATTGAGTCTCATGTGCTGTTACAGTGAGAACTGGCCAGGGTTGGGAGGAGACAGGCACATATTAGGGAGATGGGCCTGGCACATGGTAAGCACGTGGGGGGTGTTTGTTGAGTGGGTGAATGGGAGTCATCCACTCTGTGGTGAAGCAGAAGTCTTGGTAGATGAGGGTGTAGAGGGTGTAGAGGTGGAGAGAAGACAAGAGGTTACAGGATGAGACATTGGGAGCACAGAGTGCAGTCCAAAAATGTGCTGGGAAAGGAACAGAGAGCTTGGAGAACTAGGAGAGGGCAGTGTCCTGGAAAGTGAGTGAGGAGAAGTTTCTGGAAGGAGTAATTGTGTCCAGTTCTACAGAGGCCATCACAGGATTTGTTGATGTTTGTGACTCTTTGGAGAGCAGTTGTGGAGGCTGGATGGGTGCAGATGGTAGACTGTAGGGGCATGAGGTGTGCACAGGAGCTGAGGGGCATGGGGCAGTGCATTGGTGAGGTGGGGGCAGTGGTGAGGAGGGTCAGGACTTTGCAGAGGATGTTTTGGGATGTGGAGACATAAGCAGGTTTGTAAGCTGAGGTAGATGACAGGTTTAAACTCAAAGGTCAAAGGGATAGGGTAACTAAAAAAGAAGCCCAGTACAGTGGGGGCATCCTGCCTCTCTTCCTGAGCCCAGCAAAGCCACCACAGAGTCAGACTTGTGACGCAATGCTTTAATGCACATTTTGAGGAGTTGAAAGATGGTTTTGGGATGCAGCCTCTCCCACAGCCCAGTCTGGAATTCAGGCACCCTCATCATTAGGGCCTCTTGGCATCATTGGCGCTAGGGATTAGGTTTTTCAGATAGTTCATGATTCCTTTCGAAGCTTTGTCCAGATTCTTCCTGACTTTATGGCCCAGTTTGGAGAGTTTTCCCTCTGAGGTGGTTGCTGAGGAGTATTGGGAGGGAAATGTCAAGTTAAGGCTGGTTCCCTTCCACCCTCTCCCCTCCACCCCAGCAACAGCCTTTCACAGGACTGGCGATCAATGCTTCATTTGACTCGCACTTACATTTAGTTCTTGTTCCTCCACAGCCTCCTTTCTCTTTCTAACCTCACCTATTTCCACCCAAGTAGCTCCCAGCCCCTTCCCTTTCCTGCTCAATACCTGCCCAGCAGCTTCCCCTTTCCCTGGCTCATACCAGCCCTGGGCGCCCGTTCTGTAGTCTCTTCTAATTGGAGCTTAACATTTTTGAAATTGTCCTCTTGGGGCATGGGCTTTTGACTCTTTGCTCTTTTGACAGCATTCTCTTTGGAAACCAGCTCTTCTTTGGAGATGAAGGACTCCTTAGAGAGGTCTTCATCAGAAACGTGGTCCTTCTTGGGGTGGCTGCTAGGGGTGACCTGGGCAGCTGGAACCAGGAAGATAAAGGGAATGGGGGGCGGAGTGACAGCGCATGGTGAGAAGCAGCTAGCCATCCTATGTCATGTTCCTTAACATGTGGAGCCTATCAGGGTTGAGTCATTGCCTAATTAACATACAAGTAGGACTGAGGTCCTGTACCAGAATCCAAATCTATGAGCACCTGAAAGGCACATCTCTGATTTTGAATGCTATTGATTAGGAATTTCACTTTCCCTAGCAAATTTACCTTCCCAATGAGAAGAGATTAACTTTGCAAACATAGGTCCCATTGTCTGGCCCATTGGAGGAGTTCAGTAAATATTGTTTTTTTTTCTTCTGAATTTTGGGTATTGCTTGAATCTGCCTTCTCTGGCTCCTCCAAGGTAGACTGGGGGAAGCTAGCCTGAGATTAAACCATGTCTATGGATAATACACAAAGCAGAATCCCGCAATGTTCACGGTTTTGGGCTGTGGCAGTGGGGAGCCTGGAACAGATGAGCCACTCCAACATCCTCACCTCCATGAGCTAAAACCCTTGACCTGCTAGCACTTGGGTGGGAGGTGTGGTTCCCACTCCTATCTCCAATGACTAGCCAGCAGAAAGGGCTGTTCAAATGGTTCCTGGCCCTCACATTTTGGCCAACTAGTGCAGCAGGAAGGATTAAGGTTCAAAACTAGGAGGGTTTGTCTTTGCTCCACTTCTTTCCCAGATGGAGAATTCATCATTTACTGGACAATCTTTTACTACCATTGACTTACTCTAAAGGATGCCAGCATGAGACTTACAGGCATCTGCAGGCTGAGTCTCTGAGTGAATTTCACCTTCTGGCTCTGAAAGAGAAGAGGTTAAAGTCTTCAGAGGTCTCAAGACAGTTAACATATGAGTTTTTCCCTCTGTAACCCCTTCTGCCCCAGCATTCTCAATCTTCCTTACCTTCGTCTACATCCTCCTTAGCATTTCAAACATACTTTGTAATTTATTTAATATGTTCATTGTTTGTTACTTTCTCTTAGAATGTAATTTCAATGATGACTGTCTATTCTATTAGTGTATCCAAGTGCCTAGAACTATGTGTCTGACACAGAGTTAGTGCTCAGTAAGTAGCTATGGAATGAATGTGTGAGTACATATTGTATAGAGGGAGGCACGGAAGTCCAGAGAAAGGTAGTGACTCTGCCTGGACTATCCAGCATCACCAGAGGCTGGAATCTGATCTGAACCTCCATTGACCCATAGTGCATCCTGATTTGGATCTGTTTTGGCCCCTCTGGCTCCAGCTCCGGGCTTTCTAGGTAGCAGAATTCCCAGAATCATATGCCCTAGTCCCTCACCTCCATACCTAGGACATCCAGGTGTGAACTTTTGGTTCTGCAGCTTTCCATCTCTCCACACAGCATATTACAAGGATTAAGGAAGGCCCTTCCTAGTGCTGAGGTCTCTCCAGCTGACAGCTCAAAAACCTTTAGGGGACCGAGGCGTGTGGAAGGCGGCCAGACTCACCATCAAGGACGGCGAGAGAGGTGGAGGCTAGGCTGGCCAGCAGCAGGACCATGAAGCACTCCATGGTGGAGCTGTAGCAGGATCAGTTTTTCTGGGGGAGGCTGCTGAGAGTTGCTGAAGAGGCAGCCTGGCAGGGCTTTATTTACTTTGAGGTAAGGATGGACTCTGGGGAAACTGGACCTGGGAACATACTAGGTTTCTCCTCCCAAGTTTCCCATTCTGAATAGGTTTGTTTTTGGGAACTGGAGTTTCTGGGAAACCAGTTAACTGGAAAGTAAGGCCCCCGGCCTTCCCCCTGGCCCGGACCATGCCAAAGGTGTGTCGGCTCCAGGTTTCATCCCCAGAAGTCCTTGGAATAAGGACCTGGGTGTGAGTTTCCCTCTTTCATAGTACTCATTACTGTGTAATTTTACTTTCATTTGTATGATCATTTAATTAACATCTATCTCCTCCAGAAGAATGAAAGTTCCAGAATGGCTGGGATTATATCTGTTTTGCTTGCTATTGTTTTTCCAGTACCTAGCAGGTATCTGGCACATAGGAGAGTCCTAGGAAATATTAGTGGAGTGAATGAATCAAGGAACGGTCAGGCTGTCCTCTAGGGCAGTGGCCCCCATCCTTTTTAGCACCAGGGACCAGTTTCACGGAAGACAGTTTTTCCATGGCCAGGGGGAGGATGGGGATAGTTTCAGGATGAAACTGTTTCACCTCAGATCATCAGGCACTAGTTAGATCAGCATGCAACCTAGATCCCTTGCATGTGCAGTTCACAATAGGGTTTGCACTCCTGTGAGAATCTAATGCTGCTACTGATCTGACAGGAGGCACATCATGGTGGTAATGCTCACTTGGCTGTTGCTTACCTCCTGCTGTGTGGCCCGGTTCCTAACAGGCCACAGACCAGTACCAGTCTGTGACCTGGGGGTTGGGAACCCCTGCTCTAGGGTGTAGATAAAACTCCCCATCAGTTCAGGAATGAAGGAGTGAGGCAGTTACAGAAATTCCGACTATATGCCAAGTAGTATCCTGAGTTTGTTCCCATGGGATATCCCATTTAATTCATGATGGTTTGGGAGGTATGTGTTATTTACCAAGAAAAAAAACTGATGTTTATAGAGGTGAGGTTACTTGCATAAGGCCACATATATGGGTGAATTTGAACCCAGTTTAGTCTAACTCCACATCTGGAGTCTAGTGCCTCTAAAAGCAGACAAGATGGAGCAGTCGGATGCCCGGAAAGGCATCTGGAGAGCAGATGAGGGTTGTGCGTAGGGCCTGGGTCTTGGTGGTGGGCCTAGGAACTAATCTGGTTGATCTCGTGTCCTTTTCCAGCTGGAAGTTTGATATTCTCTCTGAAACCTCTCCAGGAAGGAGAAGGCTGCTGTACCCTAACACTGAGTCTCTTGTCCTCAGCAGGGAGCGTGGCTTGCTGGGAATGTGCATAGGTAAGGTAATGCCTGGAGACCACAGTTGGCTGTGCCAGCCAGTGTGAGACCTGTGCCGGGGAGAGCCCCAAGGGGCTGGCAGTTGTCTTCCAATTGTTCTGGCAAAGCTCTCTCTTTAGGCAAGGTGGTGTAGTGAAGGAAGTTTGTCTTGGGCTGCCTCCAAACACCCCTTCCTCCCTGACTCCTCCTCTCACCAGCAACCACTCCTCCCATAGCCCAGGGCACTTGGGAACAGGACAGGGGCAGATGAGGGCATTCACAGCAAGTCTATGAGGGTAGGGTTTCAGCTCTGCAAGCTTATTTCCTAATATACATAATTCACATGTTGAGGCTCTCAGCATCTGCAGACTAGGCTATTTTAGTTTTTCACTGCTCTTCTGGCTTCCAGTCTGTCTCCACTACGGTCCATTCTTCATGCTAATGCTGGAGGGATCTCACGAAGTTCATGCCACTTCTGTACTCAAAAGTCTTTAATGACTATCCATCACCATGGGATACAGTCCAAACTCCTTGGTCTTCCACCTTCACAGCCTCATTTCGTACCCTTGTGAATTATTCCCTACTCACTGGAGTGTTATACTTGGGTTCATGCCGTTGCTCTGTCAGGAATCTTCTTCCTCTCCATCTGCCTGCTATGTTCCCACAGCGTGATCCAGATCAGATGTCATCTCCTCCCTGGAGTGAACACAACCTTCTCACCATCCCTCCTCCCTTGGTTAGTCACTCACCTCTGTGGTTCTACGATGCACTGTTCATATATTTATCTTTTCATTATTACATTCCACTACTATTTATTAAGTGCCTGCCAGGCAGCAAGATTTGGAGATACAATGGTGAACACAATCACCTGGACCCTGGCCTTAGGCCTTTGTTGTCTAGCAGTTATTGCACTCTATTGTAGTGATCTGTTTTGAAATCTATTGCTGTTACTGGTCAGTTACCATGTTGAGGACAGGAGCCATAGCTTACTTGTCTCTGAATCCCAATTTATTTAGCGCAGATCTTAACTCTTGCTAAGTTTCCAGTCTGGTTTTGTCAAATGAGTCAATGTGCCTTTTCAAAGATGGCCCCTTGGGGATATGTTTGTTCAACAAAGTATCTCTTTAGTATGTGTGGCAGGGAACTTCTGAGAGGCCTCCTCCCACACACAGTTCAACAAGAATGTCTGCCCTACACCAGGTATGGTGTGGGTGCTTAAGCTCCAATGCTGAACAAAACAGACCAGGTCCCTCCTCTCCCGGGTAAGGGTGCCAGATAAAATGTAAGTCACCCAGATAAATGTGAATTTCACAGAAACAATGAAAATATTGTCAATATGCCTCAAATATTGCGCAGTACCTAAGTATGTCTCAAATATATCTGAAATTGCATTTAACTGGGTGTTCTGTGTTTATTTGCTAAATTTGGCTCCGAAGGTTCCAGACCAGCCTCAGACTTGGATTAGAAGCAGGCAAGGCTTTCCGTGTCTGTCCTTCCTGATCTGTCCTTCTCAGAGCCCAGTCTCATCCTGGGTACTCAGTTACGGGAAATATGTCCTGGAGAGGTGACCACGTGTCTGCCACACCTATAACTCCCTTCTGAGAAATGAGGTCACGTGGTTCTTTGCACACAAGATGCCCGACTTTGGGTCAGATGTCTTTGTTACCCTAACCACTCCTATTTGTGAGGAAGTCTGGGCTTATTCAGAGGTAACAATCAACAGGCTGGACACAAGGGAGCCCATGGCCTCTCAGGAGAGCTGTCCATTTCCAGGGCTTTCTACTGGATGGTTCCTAACCAAGCGAATGAGGTCACTCTCAGTGAAGTTTGAGTCAGAGAGACAGAGAGAAAGAAAACTCAGAGATGTAAAAACAGTAGAAGAAGAGAGAGGCCAGGCTAGAGGGAGGGAGAGATGAAGACTCCTGTCTAGGGGAGGCCCTGGGCCTCAAGCTATGACAAAGTGACTGTCCTCAGAGCGGCTGAAGGGGCTCACAGCCCAGCGGGTCTCTGCTTGGTACTCTGTGAAGCCTGCTGACATGGCTTCCTGATCTTCCTTCCTTCCTTCTGTCACTTAATGGAACCTGAGTGAATCTTGTAAACTTGAAAAAGCCTATTTTTAAAGCTCCACCCACCCCACCTCAAGCATCATTAGCTTATAGTCAGGACACCTGGGTCCAAGATTCAGCTCCGCCACGGACTCACTCCGCAGTCCTCAATCGGCAGCCGCACCCCCCAACCCCTGCCCCACCGCCACTTCTCTGGACCTCATCCTTTTCCTCAGCAAGGAGAGGGAAAGTCCAGATGGATCTCCCAGGATCTCTAGGACTCCTGTTCCAAGACCTGACACCCTCTTGGAACAGGGGTGGAAAACTTCTTGGGAGATTTTTATTTCAAGAAGAACAGCATCAGGCTGGTTGCTCTCAAACTTCACAACCAGCTGGGGAGTGCGTTTCAATCCCCTTTCCTCTTCAGTTAGTAGGCCTGGGATGCAGCCCAGGAACCCACATTTAAAAAGCAGCATCCAGAGCGGTTCTGATGCTGAGAACAGGACTACCCTAGGCAGACAGAATGGCTTCTACACAAAAGTTTAAACTTATTTTCTGGTAAGGATTTTGGGAGGTAGAGAGTCTGTTGTTTTGGTTGTGTGAGTGTGTGAGTGTGAGAGTGTGAGTATGTGTGTGTGTGTGAGAGTCAGTGTGTGCCTGTATGTGTGTGTGACAGTGTGTGTGAGTGTGTGTGTGAGAGTGTATGTGTGAGAGAGTGTGTGTGTGTGAGAGAGAGATAAGGGGGGATATCACCATGGGGGCTGCTGCCCTGGGGCAGTGGGGCTGGAGAAGAGAAGGGGAAAAAGGAGACCAACATTCTGTGAGGTCTGACCTTGAGCCAGGTGCAGGATTATTTAATTCTCATAGGAATCTACAGGGAAGTATTGACAGTCTCTGACAGACTGGGAAAACTGAGGCTCAGAGAGGTTAAGTACATTTACCAAAGTAACATAACAGCAACTGGCATGGCTGGGATTTGAACCTGGAACTGCTTGGCTCTGATTCCCATGCTCTTCCCATAATGTCTCACCTACACCAAGCATCACTAGAGTCAACGTCACAGTACAGCAGCCATAAATCCTTGGCTTCCTGGTGGAAATCCATTTCACACATTCTGTGCTGTTTCCCACATATCCATTGACTATTCTAGGAAATCAATGTTTCTGCCTCCAAACACTTCCCAAACTTCACCTCATCCCCTGTTACTGGAATAAGGAGGAAAAAAAGTCATCGACAGGGGAGCTCAGTGGCTAACACAGCCAGAGGGAGCAGGTCCACATTGGAGATGGGAGAGTCATTAGAGAAAGGAGTCAGGAGAGCGCCAGTACAGAGGAGATAACTGCAGAGAGGTTCCACTGCCGTGGGACCCTGGTGTGGGTGGGGAGGGCGAGCAGCTTCTGTCTTGTTCCCAGTCCGGATCTAGCAGTTCTTTCTGAGTGAGTCTCTATTCCCTTCTTCAGGGTCCATTGCTGTCATGTCCATTCCAGCCATATCCAGTTTCTCTGCAGGAAGCTCTGAGCCAGACTTGGCTCAGCCTGGGCAGTCTGTGAAAACACACTCTCTCTCCATCTGGAAGATGGGGCCTTGGGAATGTT